TGAAAGATTATCATTCGGTTCACCACAACACATATTAGATCCAGCAAAATTAAGAAGAAAAAAAAACCTGTTGCGACAAATAGATTTCAAAGAACATGCAGAATTAGCCACAGAAATCATTAGAATCGGTTTTGATGGTTTTGATAAACAAGGTTAATGGAACAAGACGGTGGTAAAGTTAGCAGGACTTCTTCCATCAAAGAAGATTATTACGTTATCTATTTATTTCAAAACAGCGTCTACTTTGATCAAATTTGTCTACAAAATGGTAAAGCAGTTGATGTAGCGAAATAAATCAATTCAGTTTTGAAATTCTTTTGTGACTTTCCAAAGTGTTGTATATAATGAAACCATTGTAAACACGGGCTGGAAAAATGATATTGTTCTTATATTTAAAAATTGTCATGGTAAACCTCTTCAATGATGTATTTATTTGCTTCATTTGAATGAGCTGCTTCTCAGAACAATTTTCACTGCACTTGATGGCAGTACATCTGGTCTTATTGTATTCAAAAGCATTCTTGTTGAACAACTATTTTTTAATGTTGATTTTCTACCGACAGTTGACTTTTCCAGTGTAATTGGAGTATCCATTGAAATGTCTGATGACTTCATTCATAATCTCAGTAAAAATCAGAAATACTTACTTAAACATGCTATGCTATTATCCGAGGATTCTAAAATTTGGATCTAGAAACAAAGAAGTATTTCACAAATAATCATCCCAGAAATCTCAATCATGCCAATTGGCTCTCATTTGCCAATCGCTTGCATTGGTTATACATGTCGATCGTAAAACCCACAACAAGCCTGATAAAAATTGATGATTGCATCATCAAAGTTTACTGTTTATGTTGGCTTTTATTTAAGAAAAATTGGAATTGCGTTGAAGGAGCATGGAATTTTTTCATGATTATGAAATGTATTTGCAGTCTTAATTATTCTGAGACAATAGCAATAGCCAAGAAAGTATTGCAAAAAAAACTGTTATTTCGCTCATCCTGAAACTGTTTTATGCCATTAAAGATGAAGACAAAAAAAAAGCGGTCGATGCAACAAAGAAAACTATTGCATGTAGAAAAGAAGAGAATACTGATGAGGTACGTGTTTTTTCTCTACAAAAGATTTCTCTCAGTTTCCATGCTTCCTTATATTTAGAAATGATAGACTGGTCAAATGTTGATATCTTTCCTCCTTCATTTTTATCTGAAGCAAAAAATGAAGACCTCTTAATCAATTTTACAAATGGCATTCTTCAAGTTCCTGATATTTCATGCCGTTCTCAAAATGTTGAACGTCTGGTTAAAAAAATATCTAGAATATCCAAGATCGTCACAACAAAAAAAAGTCATGGAATGCTTGTTTTCGCTTCAAACTCGAAACTTAAATATCCGACAGTAAAAAATTAAAAATTCGACAGTAAAAAGAACTTTATAAAAAGATTTTGCATTTTTACATTCTTTTTTAGTATACAAATGTAGATTTTATTCTTTTCATGATGTTTTTACTTATTTTCATGTGATATGTTGGCGAATAACAGTGGAACAGTGGAAAATCTTAAGAAATTCTGATTTTTTTGCAGACATATGTCTATAAGATGTTACAGATACTGCTTTAGCTTGTGATTGACTAGCCTAAATTTTGAAAATCTTTTATGTATATCGGGTTAATTTTCTCCATCGTTCACGTACGGTGAGGTGTTTTGTATTACGTACTGCTTTTTTTCATAAATTTGTGAAAGGTAAGTTGTTGAGCAATAATAATTGTCTGAGATAATCATTCCATCAATAAGATAATGATATTTTATTGATTTCTGATTGTTAGTATTATAAAGCAATTTCTTTTCTGTTGCCTTCTGTCGAGTTAGCTGTTTCTTTTTTGACGAACCTGATATTGCTTGTATCTTATAATCCGTAAAAGGGCAAATGACAAAGGTTTTGAAGTGGAGGGGGTAAAATCGTCAATTCTTTAAAAAAGTCCTCTTTATCTAGAACTTTCTTTTTTTTTAAAAAAATCTTTTAAAAAAAAGTGGAGCCCCAACGACACCAGGGGCCCCCTAGGGTGTCCCAAAAAACAACATTTTTAAAATATATATGCAATGACCCATTTAATTTGTTCTATATAATAAAAAAATACTGAGTTTAAAAATTTTTTGAATAAAAAATATTCTTAGGGGTCCCCAAGACCCTTGAACATCAGACGGGTTGTTATAATTATCAAAAAAATAGTTCTTCAAAAGTATATCATGTTGGGTCTCAAAATTAATCATCATTTTAAAAAAAAAAAAATAGTTAAAAAAATTATAATCAAAAAATCTTGTTAAATTCCCTATTTTTCCTTTTTAGTTAAGAAAACGTCATTTTCTGATCACAATTATTTTATAAGTTTTTATAAATTTTCATTTTATTTGAGACCAACAACGCATCCTTTTAAAAAACTTTTTTTCGTATTAATATTAGGGACTCATTAAATGTTCAAGGGTTATAGGGGACCCCTAAAAATATTTTTTATTCAAAAAATGTTTAAAACCAGTGTTTTTCTATTATATAGAATACATTAAGTGGGTCTCTGCATAAAGTTTTGTTTTTTGAGACACCCTAGAACCCGATTACCCAATGCAGGGTCGCGGGCTCTGAGAGAGAAGTTAAGAAAAAAATAATAAAAAAAAAAACACACACACACACAAATCACAATATCTAGAGCACTTAGGAACAGTTGCAGTTAAAGAATGAGACTTATTAGAATAACGAGTAAAACGAGAATAAATTTTAGTTGATGGTACTAAAGACGTACGAGGTACTAGAGCTCTTTAAAGCAGCGCCTTTTATAATGTTTATAGACAAGAGAAAGAGAAACAACATTACGACGATGTGACAATGGGTAAAGGTTGGCTGCAAGAATAGATCCAACTATGTTTACAACGCGTTTTTGCACATTGTCTAAAAGAGAAAGGCCATCATTTGAAGATCCGTTCGAGATATGTCAACAGTATTCCATACAAGACGGATTAGAGATTTATTTAGATGCAAAAAAAAACCCGGAGTAAAAAAGTGGCAAGCACAATAAAAAAATGCAACCTTAGCAGATGCTAATTTTTAAAAGGACTTAATATATGGTTTCTAAGAAAAAAGTTATTAGATTCAAGATGAGAGATTTAGTATTTGTTAATTAAAGATTCAAAAATCTTGCTTATGAAAGTAAGAAGACAAATTAAACGGTAGTTAGACGAGTTAGATCGCTCTCTCGAGTTTTTGAAAATTGGGATAATAGATGCTGCTGTCCAACAGGCTGGAAAACAAGACTCTGATAAGTACTTGTTAAGTAGTTTTAAAGGTATAGACGACAGCTCTAAAGAACATATCTGCAAGACTTCATTACATTTCTATGTAATTATCTATATTAATAACTAGATACTTAAATTTTGATTTGAAAGAAATTATATTGTCTGAAAGATTAATTAAGTTGTATTTCGGAAATATTTTGTTGTTTACATAGGGCTCTTACTTATTACATAAGTAATAAGAAATAGAGAATTAAGATTACTTATTTTTGATTTAATCAAGTTTCTAGTTGCTCTTGTGTTAAATTTATTGATATTGGATTAAAAACGTTTTTCTTTAAATCGTGTAGTGATCTTATTTTGTGTTTCAGCATAAATAGTATATAAGCATAGATATTATTTTGATAAACTTTTGTTGCTTTCATTTCATTTAAAAGGGGTTTTTGTAATTTTGTAATAACTTATATTGTAAATTTTTTTTTGCTTGAGATACATTTACTGCTTTAAATACATTTAAATACTTCTACTAGATTTTTTTTGTTTTGTTGCAAATAAATGCTTTGGAACACTCTCCAATCTTCATATTATCCCGAACTATATAAACTACAATTTTTTTAATTTTGCTGTCAACTATTTTATTGCTCTTTGTCGATATTTTTTTCATTAACTAGTAACTC